GTTACAGTGAGCTGAATCTTGAGGCATTTTGCTGGATATAACAGATTATTAAAATGATAAGACAAGTGCATGGCAAAATAGACTTTATTTTTCTTGCTAAGTTTTCCAAAGTGTCTCTCCAGCAATACTCTGAATAAATGGCTTGACTGCTTTGATAGGATTTTTGGAGAGGGAATTCACATGCCTTCATCTCTCTGCTTGGTTTGGTGGACTCTGCTAATGCTTGAGACCTGCTTTTTTAGATGCAAGTCTATGGAAATCTCCTGCATGTGTTGTGGGCAAAGTAGCCTATGGCACAGTGAAGGCAGAGCTTTGAGAAGGAGCAGAATCTCGTGGCAGATAATGTCGGTTCATGTTGCTCCAGCTGTGGAGTTGGAAGTCAGAGGTCCCTAAGATGTGAACACAAGGTGAACTGTCCAGGTTATCATCTCCTTCCTGCTGTGGTTTTTTGTTTGTGTGTTTCCATGTCAGTACTTGTCTGTCTGATTGAAAACTCAGCTTGGAAAGCATGCGGCAGTGTGATGGTTGGAGATACTGCCTACTCAATTAGAATAAAATCATGTTGTGAGTGTAGGCTCTTGCTAAATATAATGTTGCAAACGAGGCTTATTTATATCTGTAATATAACTTCTCCCTTAGTCCTAGGTAACATTTATAGCAAATCTATTTTCTTGTTACGGAGGTTTTTTAGGGGCATTTTAGATAGTTCTGTTTCATTAGTTCCCTCACTGCCAAGGAATAAGCTTTCCTAATTCAGATCAACAGCATGAACAACATCTACAAACCTGATGTACCCTTGAGAAACAGATCAGAAGTGTCTTGGAAGAGGGTTTGTTTGTTTGTTTTTTGTCTTGTTCTTTTGTTCCCCCCATAGGTGGTGGTGAGCCCTGTCCTGGATCTGTAGTGATGCTTATGACTATGGTTGCCAAAGCTGGGCTGCTGTAATGACGTTCTGTTAGCCTGGAAAAGAAATCCACAGGATGCTGTTCCTAATACTAAGCAGATTAACTGTGTGTAAATGTTGCAATTGAAATTAACGGGCGCGCTGACTACTGCATCACACAGTTAATGTAGGAAGTCCTCTTGGCTTAATTGTGCACTTACATGCTGTTTCTTGGTAGGTGCTTAAGTCATTATTTAGAATGGATAAACAAAATTGGATTTTTTTATTGGGGAAAAGCTAACCCTTTTCAAGTTTTGGCTAGCCTGCTGTGTTAGAGAGTTTATGCTTTGAATACTTTCAGAGAGAAAGCACGGGCAGTGTTCCTTAAGCCTTTGTCTAAATCAGGAGTTGAACCTGAATCTCTTGTGATAGCAGTGACTGAATTTACAGTGTTGGGCAGACTTACGCACTCTGCTCTGAACCAGGCATCATGAATGGTCCTTGGGCTTGGTGTGCTGTGGGCTCTGACAAATGTTGCACCTTTGAGACAGAAAGCTTTGATGTTTCAGACTTGGCTTGATAAATAAACAGAAAGACCCCAGAGAAAACTTCCAGCCATGCTTTTGTGTACTCGGTGTGTTCTTTTTCCTCTGCTATTTTACATATAATCTGGTGACATACAGTCACTCTGGAGAATAGTACTTCTCTTGTTTATCCATATGTGGTATCTCAACTTCAATCAGGTTATTTGCTTCCCTTTTTCTTGTTTTTAAATTCCTGTGGTTATTGAGAAATAGGGGTTTTTAACAAGGTATTTTTCACTTGCTAGTTTAGTTGTAGATTCAATCTGTACAATCTATAAGTGTGCTTATTTAATTTGAAGTTTATTTTTTAACCTGCATGCATGACACTGCAGAGTACATCACGTTAAGCCCAGCTTTCTATGGGTTAGGGTTTTGGCTTATGACCAGATTACTGTAATATAACAAACTGTGGAGCATGGCTTCAGCCTGAAGCAACTGTGAAATAATGCAATTCAGGCTGTGATTGACAGCTGGCTGTTCCTGAAAAGGGAAGGTGTAATTCCTCCTCATGCTTCCCTTTTTTCTTTCCCCCCCACTGCTTCCCTGCTCCCAAAGATGTGGTTCCATCATCTTTCTTGGGTTTGCTCTGGTGCTGAACCCTTGCAGGTTTGTTTCTGTTTAATCCATCAGGAAACTCTCCTCTCTTTCCTGCTGGGGCTCGTTTCTGCCAGGTTAGTGAGACTGTGAGATTGACCCACAAACAGGTCTGTCCTGTGCCAGAGCTGGTGCGAGGTGGAAAAGGGAGCGCACAGGTGGGAGGGAGTAGGACTCAGCTGTTCAGCAAACTCCTCAAGCCTCCTGAGACTACTGCGTAGCCTCCTCGCACAGTGCCCAGTACGTTGTGTTTTCAGTGGACCAAGTGTTTGCAGAGATGCTTATTGCGGTCTAGATGAAGTGACTTGTTAAACTACAAGCTGATTTGTACCTCTGATTTGGTAGTTGATGTTAATTAGAGCAGGAAACATGAGAAATGGCTGAAAAAATAAGCCTCCATGCATGCTGTTATTTATGTTTAAGAACAGTCTATTTACTTAGCTCCAATACTTTCATAAGGATATCAGTGAACTTCCAGTTCTGAATGTGATTGGAACAGTTTAAGTTGGTTTAAGTGTTGTCTGAATCCCGAACTGTTTTTAATATTATTGCGTGCTGGGATTTCAGTTCAACAAATCAAGGAGGTGGTAACAATTTAAGTCACCACAACTGTTTGCAAAGTGGGTTTGTTTCAACAGTGATTTAGATTAAACCCCACAAATGCACTATTGCCACTTCGTACAGATTCCTTAGGCATGATGAAATGTAGCCAGGTCTGGTGCTGTTTTACTACAAGAGGAGAAAATCTGTCACTTTGTTAGTGTTGTGTCAAGTCAACCTGTATTTAGCTACTCACTCCTTTTTTGCCCCTCTCTTAAATAAAGCCTGGCTGGCCTCCGTGGGGCTGCCCTGGCAGAAGGAGACTGCTGAGGGCTGAGATGAGTTAGCTGCGTATGTAAGAAGATTCCATTAAAAAAGCTTCTTCCTTGTATGCCCTGTGTTGTCTGGCACTTCAATTATGACAGTTAGAGTGAAGAAGTCTTTGTGGGTGGAGAGTGATCTTGTAGATAGCTAGAACCAATCCCACAGACGACTTGGATGCCAAGAAGAGACAATGTGCTGGAGTTTTATTTTGGGACTACTTGACCTGGTTTTGGGGAAGATTTATCCTGCCTTTAGCATTTTGGATTTGAGAGATATCAGAATGGGAGCAAGAAGGATTAAATGAATTTGGGAAAAATTGCCTGAGAAGAAATACACCCTCATTTTTTGGCTAAACACCAGTCTACAGAAAGCCTGCAATGTAGTCTTCAGAAGATAATTAGTTCTTCTCTCTCAAACTGTTAGGGATTCCTCCAGTTCCTTTGACAAATTAGCCCATGAGCAAGCTATGGAACAGTGAATGAAATTATGGCTATACATTGCGCTGTGCACAGTCAGGACCTGTTAGTATGTTTGTTGTACTAGGTACTGTATTCCCTGAACCTGTGGTGAACTGGAGATAACTTGTTGAAAGAGGGGCAGGCTCCCCTGTGCTTACCAGAGGGGAATACCATGCACATGTTATGGTTTTGTACCCTGACTAGCAGTAAAACAGCACAGCAACCGCTCACTCACCCTCCTCCCCCTCCTGGGGATGGGGAAGAGAATTAAAGGGGTAAAGGGAAAAGAGACTTGTGAGTTAATTTAGTAACTAAACTACAATAAAATTGAAAATAATAATGATAATAGTAATATATACAAATATACAAATGAGTGATACACAGTAAACTGCTCACCACCCAATGACCAAGGCTCAGCCTGTTCCCAGCTAATGATCCTGGAGCAAGGAGAGCCCCAAAATCCAAATCCTGGAAAAGAGATATGAGCCCGAGTGTCCAAGAGAGCGGGAGCCAACTGAGAGAGAGAGAGGACCCAGAGAGGAGGGTGCCCCAGAGAGAGACAACCTGGCGCAAGAGAGAGTATTTCCAGACAGAGCCTCATCTATATACTTGGGCATGATGTGAGTGATATGGAATAGACCATTGGCCAATTTGCATCTCAATCCTAAATGTAAGATCGAATGCTAGGCTAGTAGTTGGGGCTGTGCTTCTTCCCAGCTTCTCCTGCCCCTGCAGATACTGGCACAGCAGAGAAGCTGGAAAGTCCTTGACTGTCCTGGCAGCAACTATCAACATCAGTATGTGATCAGCCTTCTCAGCACAAATCCAAAACGTAGCCTTACACTGGCTACTATAAAGAAAGTTAACTCTGTCCCAGCTGAAACCAGGGCAACGTGGGCATTGGCCACAAAGTTGTGAGGGTGTAAGCATACACCACAGCTTATGCCATTGCAGCTTTTTCGTCTACCCATAGCTTTAGTTTAATTGAACATGTTATGTGAGCTTGACCAAAATAAAATGTTTAATGGCACCTCTTTTTGCCAGCCGGGTAAGGAGAATGACTTACGGCATGTTTGAACTTTATGTACCACTAACAGTGATGCTTTTTTTACTTTGAGGGGGAATGCAAAGTTGTGGTGACAGAGCTCAGCGGGTTGGTTCCAGTGGTTTAAGTCAGCATGTTCTTGTTATAGAAAATGGAGAGCCAGTGGGATAAATTTTAAATCCTGCAGATGTTTAATGACAGGTTTCAGTAAACTTACAAACTCCTCAACTATGTAGCACAATACAGAGCCAGACACCATGGACAGTATATTTCAGATAAATATTTAGAAGTTGCCAGTGGAAGCTAAACTTTGAAAAATGTGAAGTTATTCTTGAAAGGGTTCAGATTTGTTAAATATGTGAACAGACACCTATTTATTGAAGCTAATGTTAGTATGCCTTGGTGAGGAAAATACTGTATAGATGGGAGCTCACATATACGTAAAAGAGGGAAGCTTTTACGCGCATACAGGGGAAAGTACTGATGTCAGTTTAATGTGGCATTCTGCTCAATGCATGTTTCATCCTTTTATGTGACTCTTAAATAAAACCTTTCGGATTTTTCTCTTTCAGAATCGTAATGAAATAAAAAATGGAGCGATCCTTCGATTAACAACATCTCCAGTGAGTTACTGTTCTGTTCTTCTCTCCCTTCAAAGTGAAGATTTGATTAGTAAATCATTGTGAACTTCTGTATGTATTTTTAAGCTTTAGCCACGCTGTATCCCCCAGTCCTCCTGCAAAGGAGGATGATGGTGCAATCACAAGATTGACTGTATGTGTTGTTCTCTTTTTTTGAGTTATAGGGGCAAGGGTGGTATCTCTGAGTGACATTTGGTGGTAGGGTTGGCATAACTGGGTGATTTTTGTCTCTCGCTTCTCTCCCACTGGGAACAGCTTTCATGTCATGTTTGCTTCCCTGCTGGCATTGCAGCCTCACTCAGGTGCTTCTTTTCTGCGCCAGAGCTCAGAGCCAAGACAAGAGGCTAGGAGGTGAATCACGGGGAGCTCTGCTGGGCAGCGCAGGTCAGAGCTTTCCTGCTCTCTGGGTTTCTGTTGAGTGAGCAGCAACTGTACTGTTGAGATTTTACTGTTTTCATTTTATTTTTTTATTTCCACCCTGTCTCCTTGCCAGCTTCTCGAAAAGCACAGCAGAGTTGCCGGTTGCCTTGTAATGGCGTATTTTCCGGCTGAGCTGAGCAGTACTGTTGCCACATGCTGAAAGCCACTATTAGTCCCAGAAGATATATGTCCAAGGCAGCAGCAATCTCATTTCCTTGCTGACAAATGTAGCGTGCCATTAAAATAGTTTACCTCTTCGTGGTGGTGTTCTAGCTTCTGCAGATTGAAAGCAGTCTTACGGCCAAACTCTGCCACCCTGTACTGCAGCTCATTTGAACAGGCAACACGGAGCTGTGGTGGTTCAACTTCTGGCTTCTGTTGTACTTGTTAAGAGTGGGGTAAGTTACGGCCATAAAATATCTAGAAGCCACACAGATATTAGATTATAGGGTATAGATGTTTTTGGATGGATCACTTTTCAGCTAGGCTGAAAGTAAAGAACCAGAGAAGTGTATGTCGTTACTAGTTTCCCAGGTTCTCCAGGCATCGTGTGTGTTTCCACTCCTCCCCAACCTGCTTAACCTGATGATGGCTGATATTGGAGTTAGAGGTGACTAAATTTGTATGCAGGTTTCTGTATAAGTGGAAAATGAAGAAGCCAATATGGAAACATACATATGCCTCAAGTTTTTTTTATAAGTGACTGCAATATTAATCTACAGGAGTGCAGATTCTTAACAGAAAGCACTCCTAAGCAACAGCCTGTTGGGCAAAGACAAGACGTTTCCATTATCCTTCATCATCTTTTTCAATGGTCATTGTATATAGAGCTTTACAGTCATAAGAATAAACATCAGTTTAAGACCATGGCTCCATCAGAGTCTATGTGACTGCGGAGTCTCTTGCCATATGTCACCAGAACAGCCTTGTACATGGGCGTACCACATGCTGATGGAGTAAACCTCATTTGGTGGAACTTCCTCAGAAACAGACAGCCTCAGCACCAGCTTCTCCTAACCTTTTGGACTTCTTAAGAACAAATATCCACTCCACCAAAAAAGGACTTGGGATCTCATGAAATCAAAACAACATCTGTGGTTTATCAAGAACCAATGTGGTCCGAATGCACTGCATCATTTTTTTCTGTAATCACAGCACGGAGTGGCAGCATGAGATGACTCATGGAATCCTTCCCTGTCTCAAAATGGCCAGTTGCACCATGCAAAACTGACAAGAGGCTGTGCTGCGACTGATCTGTGGAAATGTCTGTCTGTCTTCGTGATACTTGTGCAATTGGAAACGTGACCTACAAACATAAAAGATAAATTCAGGATTTGTAACACTTTCTCCTAAGTGTTATGGCTCCAGGAAGGTGGGGCTTTGCCTAGGACTCTGTTCTGCTTATTCTGGTCCTTTGGTGGTTTGCCTTAGGGTCAGTCAACCAAGACAAGGGTCCTCAGGATATTGAGATATGTTACCTGTTAACACCAAGCTATGGACCACTCTGGCACTGGCCTGCAGTTACGAGTGACTCAGCCATCCTGTTATGACATAGAAGGCTGGTCTACTTTCTGGTCTTCAGTATTGATATTTATCTCTGAACCAGTGCTTATTTCCAAATTTCTGATGTTTTTAAAACAAGTTTACAAAAGTTTTTGTCAACTTTTTCCCAGAATCAGAGAGGTAGCTTGGAAGGAGTTTTTGAAGGACTGGATTGGGTTTTGTCAGATTAGAGAGTATTTGTATTCTTTAAATAGACATAAAAAGTTCTGCATGTTCCCACCCTACAACAGTATCTTTGCTTTTAAGGTACTGTTGAAGCGGTCATCATAGAGGTACCTAAAATAGATAGATTAAAGGCTTCTAAGCTGTGGTTTTTAGACTGGTGACCCACACAGTGCTTGTCATTTACCCTGAAAAGCTAACAGGCCATCTGTTTCCATTTTTTCCTCTGAAGTTACGTATGAGAGCAACAGTAGCTGGAGGAGATAATGTGAAGAACAGGCTGCGTGATATAGTCCTGCAAAATGGGAAAGATGCTTTCCTAGCTGCTAGAACTGGGTGGGAAACGTTTTTCTCATCCTGTGAAAATATTAAGATGCTGAAATGTTTTTCTCCCTTTTTTCTCTACCCCACATCAGTATAAAACTGAGATTATCTTCCCCTAGAAAAATAAAATAATACCAAAAATGCTTTCTGAAGATGTGCAGGAATTAGAAAAGAAGGAGAGGAAGATTGAGAGAAATGAACAGGAACCACGAACAGATTATGCGGTGTCTAGGATGTGTCCATGTAGTTCCAGAGGGGCCTGAGCCTGCCTACTTACTGACTGTTGTGAGCAAAAACAATCCATCCTGAGCTTCACAAGACTTTTGAGGAAACTTTTTTCTTTGAAGAGTTGAGAGAAATAGTTCTGACCAGTTCCAAAGGCTGCATGAACTTAAAATACTTTTCTACTTGTTAATTTTCATGCGACTTATTACCATGACAGCCAGTAGTCTGGCTATACCTATTCACAGTTACATACTGTGAGTCACTGAAAATTGGGTGAGAAGGATGAGAGAGGATCTTTTTTGAGTTCTGTTGTCATTAGCCTCAAATTGTGTATCACTCATGTACCCAGAGCAGGTACTATCACAGATTAAAAGGAGGGAGGGGAAAAAAGGTAGTTTTATCTAGAAGTAGTAAACTGGCATTTTTGGGTTGGCTTTTTTAAAATCAGGGGTTGAAATCTAACTCCCCAAATCTAAATGTTAAATACTTTCTTTTTTTTACTCTCAAATTTAGGTTATTTTGTGTGTGTATATAGGGACCTTTTTTCCGAAATCATTGTTAATATTGCAAGGGCAAAACTGCAGTTATGGTGTGCTGCTAAATCCATTAGAAATGCTTGCCTTCTGAGATTTACAACGTGTCTATTCTAAACTTCTTTGAGTTAAGACTTTGCAAACGCCAGTCGTTAGGCCTGGTGGGAATTTGAACTGCCTCTTTGTTTCCCTAGGTCTGTTTGTGCCATTCTCTGAAAGGCTGTTTTTTCTAAACAATGCTATTTTTTTCCCCTCTATAAACCACTCCCCACACAGACACTCTGTTTCCTAGGTAACTTGAGTACAGATTGAATTTCTCTCATATTATCTTTGTTCCTATATCATCTTTCTTATTTATTTTTAACCTCTCCTATCATCTTTCTTAACAATTCTTTGGGCTACTGTGTGTTTTTGCAGTTTTCCGTGACCTGCATTCTCCCTTTGTCCATTCACATTTCTGAAGGGACTCATCAAAAGTTTCTTATGCAACATTTCTTTGTATTTGAACATATGTGACAGTCGAAATGCCAGATTGCTGTTGTCTGGTTTGTGATACCCGTATTCCAGTGGATGGTGGGTAGGTGTATAAATAAATAAGGTGTAATTGCTCCTGAGTGTGAGGCTGTTCCATAAGGACAGTTGTGTCCTGCAATGCAGCAAGCAGAGTCCAGCCTTTTAGTGTGTGCAACTCCAGGATTCCTGCAAATCCTCGTTCAAATTACTTATCGTTTTGGAAGGATGCTAAAATACTGGGAAAATTAAACTGAAGGAACTGGCCTCTTTTTTTTTTTTTTTTTAATTTAATGGTTTTCGAACAAAACTGATGATTTGAGCACTCACTGTTTATTTGAAAGTGGCTTCTTGGTCACTTAAAAAACATGCCTTGCTAATGAACTATATACCTTAAATGCTGAGTCAGCGAGTAGCCTTTTCTCATGTGGTATTTTGTGTGCCTGATCATTTGCTTTTGTGGAATGTTTTTCTTTGATCCCCTAGTTGGAGATAGGTTGAGTTCTCAAACCTGTAAGTTGTTTGTAGGCAGCTGTATTAGCATTTCTAGCTTGAGCAATCATGTAAACAGGGATGTTCATTAACAGACATCATAGTGTTTTCCCTGAATGCTTTTACAGATGTGAGCAACACGTTTGTTTACTTATATGTGATCTACACAGACGAGGAAGTGTAGAGGGGTTTTTCAACCCATTTCTACTTCTGCATCTGAATCTTCTATCTTTGAGCAAAAGTTTGGGGATCTGGTCTACAATCTTTGATCTGCAGTTTTTGTAATATGTGCTGAACTGTCTTAATGTTCTTGAAGTTCAGTAAATGCATAAATATTTGCACGTCTAGCCTATGATTGTGTCTATCATGTAATGGTGAATTAGTTATTATTGAACCTTATCCCAGGAGCACTGACCATGGAAGTCAGTGAGCCACTTTTATATTTGTCTGCTCATAGTACAAGAAGATGATTTGGGAAGTGGAGTTGGTTTTTGTCTTTTTATAGATAAAGGTTTAATCTCATGTTTTCAGGTTTCCAAAGGCATATTTTGAATAGTAAGCAAAAAGGATTGTTTTAAATGCAGCAAGAGGAAAAATAGCTTTTCAACCATTCGTAAGTGGCTAGTGATTGCATAAACTTATTTAAGGCATATTTACATAATACATATGTGACTTTAGACATGACTATTTCCCTGTTTCTCTGCTTCTGCCTCTTTAATTGCATATAGCGATGGCATAGGACTGCTCTGTGTATTACATTTGTACAGGGCTTGAGATGTAGAAATTGTGCCTGAGCATTAATGTGAAAATGTTAACAATTAAAGTCTTTACTAATTAAAATGGAATCTCATTGCTTACCTGGCATCAAATGCTAGTTGGGTCTGTTAAATCTGACTTGTGTATAATGGTGATTACGTAACGTATCCACTCCTCTGTTGCTTTCTGAGGTCTGTGCAGTTGCAGGTGAAGTGGCCAGGACAAGGCAGCAGTTTAAACCACCACAGTGTTTCAGCACTGGGTGATTTAAATTAAACCACAGAAGCGCATCTGGTTGGTTAGTACAAAACTCTATTTGGTAGCTACTACTGGTGCATATGCCCTTTTTCTAGCAGAGCGTTGAATAATGTGGCTAATTTATCTACAAAGACCAAAACACCTTTTTTTTTTTTTTTCTTTTTGTAAAGGATGATGAAGAAAACTGATTATGTATTCCTCCATAGCATATTAATGTTTCATAGTGGTTGCATTTGGAATCTCATCCCTCCCTCCTATCTTTGCATGCTGTATTTTGTATTCTGGACAGAAACCCTGAGTACACCTGGGTAGTAAATTGCTTTCAAAGTTTGCACAAAGTACTCAGTGGCAAAGAAATGATAATTTGATCTGTAGAATCCCTTGTTAGGATGATCTTGGGATTTCTAACCTCCAAATGGCTATTTGAGTCTCTAAGCTAGTCACATCTTGGATTTAGGTCATTAGCTTTCTTTTTAAGCTGACAATCTCATCAAGCTACTCCTTTTAAGCACTGCTGCTCCCTAAGGGCGACCTATCTGGCTGTCCTTGGAGCAAGTCATTTAAGACTAGACATGCAGCTTATGCCTCTTGACAGCCTTTTGAAATGCTGGGGCTTCGACAGCACAGGTTTTATGAACTTCCTGCCTTCCTTTCTAAACAGGAGAGCAGTTAACACTGTCTTTCATTTACTTGAACAGCCGTGTTTCTGTTAATTCCCTCATAAAGGTTCTCAGTTGGGGAGGTTTTATATATTTATTTATTCTTGCCTGAATGATATTTCAGAGACGTGGCAGCTAGCTCTGCTGTTACTTTAATGAGCTGTGCTCTCTGTCCATCCACTGATGGATTGTAAATCATTAAAATAGCTCCCTGGTAAGCACTCGGGAGCATATTTCATCTGGGTTTCATTTTTTAATGCAGTCATAAGTGAGCTGTACATTCCATAAGCACGTATGAGTGCTATGGCAACAGGAACCAGGAGGCTTGTGAGAACTGCATGGTATCCACTGAAGCAGTATTTTCACCCGTCAGGCACTTGTGATGACAACAGCCCACATCACTTTTGGACATGGTTCCAGTGAGACATGGACCAGCACTCTTGCTAAGTAAACAAATATTTGTTTACCACTTTAATGAAGATCTGCTCTGCCATTGTCAGTTCTTTTCTTTTCTGATAGTGGGAGCAAAGTTTATTGGATGCAACGTCTTGCAAATCTTCTTTAAGAGAAGTACGGCTGTGTAGAAACCTTGCTGTTGGGGCATTAGCATTGGATGGTCAGATAAAGCCTGTGATGTTAATAAGCTCTCTCTTATCTGCTCTATCTTTTTTTATCTCTTTTATCTTTTACCATTTCCAAAGTCAGGAGAATGCAGCTGCCATGGCAGTGTTGAAGATTTTTTCCGAAGTGCTTCTTTTCTGAGGTGGGCAGGAATTCAGACATTGTATGTATTCTGAGAGAGGGTAATGTTTTGAGGATGCTTTGCATCTCTGAGTCTTCCTGAGTTGTTGTAGTGGGGAGTCTAGAGTAGGAACAGCTCAATGAAAGAGGTCATTTGGTGAGGTAGGAGTTGGCTGTTGAACTTGTGGTTCAGGTAATAATAGTGGTTGCTCTGAATTTTTGTAGCTGATTATACAAGAGTACTTCAGCAAAACTTCCTTCACCTGCTCTGGCAAAGGGAAAGAATTGGAGGAAGTATTTTGTGGTTATCCTGAAAGTTGGAAGTTAGCGGGATCTATTTTTATTTATTTCATAGGCTTTGGCAAATTATTTAGCCTACCAGCTCCTTGAGTTTGAGAGAATGTTCTTTTAGTACCGTTTGGACAGACATTGCCGTTACAGAGAGACTGTATAAGCCATTGTTTCCCCATTACAGTTGATGGAGGAGGTAACTTAGGGTGGCAGAAAGACCTTTTGGATGACAAGATTCTGTGTTTTTCTAGATAATGTATGGTATGGCTGCACCATCCAACATTTAAGGCATAGAAAAGCTCAGAACTAAAGGATATTCTGTTTCTTTTCAATCCTGTCTTAGCTGAAGATGTTAACCACAGTCATACTGACTAGAAGATATTTCCTCTCCATACAGGCTCTTCACCACACAGGTTCTGGCCAAAAGCTGGTTGGAGACCATGCATTATTTTTTCATTTGTAATAATGGGAAGTAAGAAACCTTGCTGATCTTGGAGGATATTGGGACCTTTAATTTATTAATGTTTGTGAAGCAAATTTATGTAGATAGGAAGCTGTATCTATAACAACACAGTGGTGTTTTTTTCCTGTATTCCCTGTATAAATGTTCCCTTGCACTAAAAATGACCACTGTCTCAGAATCCTGATCTGCAGAGATGACCACCTCTGTGAAGAATATATTCACTGCTTGAACAGAAAAGGAATTGTCTGACAGCACAGCCTTTTCTTCTATTTTTCTTCTTCAGCCGAGAAAGAATAAGCTTAATCTCAGAGAAAAAAACTCTCATCAGAATTTACCATTAATTTGGTTTCCTAATGACACGTAGCTTCTCATTCATCTTTCATTTGGTGCTGGTAAGAAATGAATTTTAGGAAATTGAATTTTGCAAGTGTCTGTATATAGTGAGGGGCGGTATTTTTCTAAGAAAACTATTGGCTAGAGAGGGATTAACTGAAGCTTTTGGGTATCATGTTCAGGTAATTGACAGCATCAAATTGGAAATGTGAGATGTATTTTAAGTTATTTCTATGGCTAAAGAGAGAGATGATTTAATATGCATTATTTAAATATCCCTTTAGCTTTTTATCATCAGTGTTCATTTTGGATTTCACTGTCTGATCCTGTATTTGAAGCATTAATGGGCAGAATAGCCTAATGTGTGTGGATATTGAACTTGCATAAAGATGTATGAAAGATCGTATCATAGTATTATGTGGGAAGGAATTGTTCCTATGCTCCTTGTAAGAGAGTGTGTGAGTTTTTGAATTGATTGTGAACAAAAGGAAGAGGAGGAGGAAGGAGCAGAAGGCCTGAAGTTGGTCTCTAGTGATATAACCTGGTTAGGACAGTAAATGGTCTTCATTGTTAAAGGTCATGAGAAATGAGTAACCTGAGTAAGCGTTGACAGGAAAGAAAGTGCTGCCATTATTATACTGAGATTGTCTGATGCAATTTGTTTCATTTTCATTTCTATTTTACTGATATGACACATAGGCTCTTCAAGCCGAAGGCTGTCTTTTGTAATGCTTACTTTTTGCCTGAGACAATGGGACATCTATCCATTGGTCAGTTTATGGTTATGCAACACTCCAAATAATTATAGGTAATAATGGAGCAATACATTAGCAATATACTTCTACAAAAGTAATTTGTATGTGAGCTACTGACTTAACACTTACATGCTCAGAAATTATTATAATAAATATTGAACATGGCCATTGTTACTGCTTGCGAAAACTTGTTTTTCATTATTGCCGTGGTAACAAAAACTGTTTGTTTGTTTGTTTCATATGTTTTTTTTCTCTCTTAGGCTCAAAATGCACAGCAGCTCCATGAGAGGATCCAGTCTTCTAGTATGGATGCGAAGTTAGAAGCACTGAAGGACTTAGCCAACTACTCACGGGATGTTACGTTTGCCCAAGAATTTATAAACCTAGATGGCATTTCCCTCCTAACGCAAATGGTTGAAAGTGGCACAGAGTAAGTATTCTGCTTAAACTCTGATGTTCCTCCCTTATGTGGGGTGCTTTTGTGCTCACTCTCTGAGTGCCTGAAGTATTTCTGTGTACAGCTTCTGAGATTATATAAATAAAACATATGAAAAGTTCTGGGCTGGCAGGATAGTATATCCATTATCAATGAGAATTTTTTTTTTAATTTACCCTGACAATGGGCTGGTGGAGGTTGGGGGTGAGCAAAGTAAGAAGTCACAAATACCCTCTGTGCCATAAAGTTTTGGGGAGACTATGGTCCTGATTTCTTCTCTACCCATTGGAATTTAGATGAATCATTGATCGTATATTTAAAGGCTGATGCTTAAGTGATGTCATCTGAAAACTGTTTTAAATTTCATGTTACTAAGAACATGTGGAGCAAAACCCAGTGTTTACTTTGTTTCCATTGTTGTTGTTTTAATTCTGACTGGGTTTTTTCAAATGACAGTGGCTTTTTGATGTGAAATAGAAAGCTGACCTCTGAAAATACATTTATTCTTTACCAGAACATCTTACCAATTTTCACCATTAGTGAAATTCAGGACGATAGTACTGAGTGTCTGCTGGCTTAGTGTGGAGGGTACTACAGGAAAGTATCAACTGGATTGTTGTAATATTAAATTATGTTCTAACAGTTACTATTTCAAGTAGTCTTTTGCTTTCAAGTAAGAGTTTCAGTGTTTTTCAGTTAGTGTCAGCCTCTACTACATCTGAAGTCAGTGGTACCCACACCCTTTCCTGAGAGAAGGAAAATGCTCTGAAAGTAGCTTTCGTATTCATTGGGGGTGTTCAGTCTTGTGGACCAGCCTTCAGAATTCGATTGCTGAAATCAGTCCAAATCTCCTCCTAAGTGTGCTCGTGTTCCCTTGGATTCAAGAAAGTAGATAGTGTTTGGGGTAGAGAAAAAGTAGTAAGTGGGCTTTGAAATGGAACACAAATTGTCTCTGGTCCCATGCAAGATATACTTGGGATTTTCCACAGGAAAATTAAGTGGTTTTTAGAATCCAGTAGTCCTTAGATTGGGAAATGTAAAAGCACACTCTCGCTGATCCCTGCCTGTTATGTGGTTGATGGTTTATTGGACCTATTGCCTAACTCTAGCTCTATACTGGATTTCCAATGACTCACGGTTTCATCTTCAATGTTTTGGGTTATGGTCTTTATTTTTTGCAGTAATGTGGTCTGTGGTATGTATTATGCCACTTAAAAAAAAATGCTTCTAGTTATCAAATTTGTCAACTTGTCTTCTATTCATGTAATATTTGTTGTTTAGAGACCAAATTAAACTTGAAACCAAACATAGGCTTAAATTGATGTAAATATATGCACACAGTTCTTGTACTAATTAAAAAATACACTGAATGGGCAGGCTCACGTGTGCCTATGAAGATCAGGACATAAGCAAATTAGAAGTCACTGCCTCTGTAGTTTATTTTGTCCTGAATTTATTTAAGTTAAATGATTTAAGTTCACTGCGGAAGGTATTTAAACTAAAGCACTTTATTTTTTTATTGAAACAGACAGGGAACATTCACATTTTTTTACAAGCATTTCTTTTAGCTGCATCAAAGCTAAAGCAAGTGCCCTCCTCACCCTTCAGCTGTGTTTGTACTACTGGTTTGTAGCTGCAGGATGGGCCAAGCTGTAGCAGACTGGTCTGGATTAAAAATAACTATTTGGGAGGGAAACTACGTGAGCCAGCACCACTGTTGAAAGAACTGCTCAGCAAACTACACCCTAGTAGTAATTCCTGGCTGAGGTTAAAGTTTTAAAACCACACAGCAGGCTTGTAGACTGGACATATAAGCAGAATCTATTGCCTTTTTTTTTTTTTTTTGAAGTCGCATTTGGAGAGATTTCAGATTTTTCTTTTTATCTGGTGTAATGTATCACCAAAGATGCATTGATGGATCTACCTGTCTAATCTCTTTATCAGTGTTTCTGCCTGTGGGGAGCAACGCTGTCTGGTTTGGGCATTGAACAAAGACTCAGACTGTAAGAGTTTCCAGCAGCTCCACGTGTTGATGAACTCTCAGTACTCACTGCAGTCTTTTTTGTGTTCAGCAGCCTAGACATTCTGCAGCTTCTGAGGGAGTCTGCAGGTCAGGTTTTTCCAAGTCTGGCTTTGCAAAGGGAGTTGTAAAGCAAGGACATCTGTGCTACGCTGTACATTCCTTTGTGCTTTTATACTGTGCATCACTGGCTGATAAGCAGATATTTAACAGAACTTGAGTTTCGATGGAAGGAGCAAATACTAATACCCACAGACTCGGCAGCCTAAGCCTGCTGTGGTCCTTGTGCTTTCCTTTCCCGTCTGACTTCAAGCTGTTGATCTTGTCCTCCCACTTCAGCGTCTGTCGCTCATTGGTTTTTCAGTGCACTAAGCCAACAGACAAACTACTTCCACAGAAGCAGCTTTTTTTTTTGTTGTTTTGGTTTGTTTTTTTACTTTATTATTACAACAAAACAGCTTCATAAAATGGCCTGTGAGCAAACAAGGTGTGTGTGGGAGGCAAGGAAAGGTCCACAGGTGGACCTACCCAAACACTCCTGTTAGCATTAGGAAGGAAAGGTAATATCAGAGGAGAAACCAGCAGCCAGAAGTTTCAGGGAAGGGCAGAAACTTCTTTGATGGCTCAATTTTAGAAGGCAATATGTTTTGTAAAGACACCTTTATGGTATATCTTCATTGTGCAGTTCTTGCCCACCTTTGAGTTCCTGTTGTTGAGCCAGCCTTGCTGGAATGAGGCTATGGCCCAACCCAGCCATACAGCTGAGAAAGCCTCAATGGCTATGTGCTGCCAAGAGGTGGTCCAGCTCCCTGCCCTCTTCTCCCACTCCTTGTGAGTTAACCCCCTCTCTCCAGCCTTGTCTTGCTTCCTGCCTGCAGCTGGTTCTGGTGTCTGGATGCCTCACAGAGCCAATCCAGTTTGTTAACTTGGTTGCAAAGTGCTCGATTCTATTTTGCAGAGTTAGCTTCCTGCTCCATTGGGGACTTGAAGATGCAGGAGAGGAAGTGGGCATGGGTGAATGTAAAAAAAAGCCCTTTTTTTTGCAGCAACAGACCACTACATTAGCCTAGATGTGTCATTTAACCACAACCTGAGAGCAGTCATGTTGTGAAATAGTGTGAGAGTGGCCGTCTCTGGCCTGGTGACCTGGAGACTGGCACTAAGACTCTGAGGGGGTGGGAGGGGATGGGGCATAACCCCCTGGGTCTGCTGCTGCTGCTCTGCGAGGAGCCCCTCTGTGTGCTTGCCCAGCCACCTGTGGGTTGGTGCAGCTGAGGGCAGCCCTGCATCAGCAAGCCAGGGCTGAGTGGTGCCTCTGTTCACGGTGTGATGCAGCTGTGCTAGAAATGGATGAATTTTGTTAATTCAAGCTTTATTCTCTATTTCCCCCAAAGGGGCAGACAGTGCTCATTAAAAGTACCGTCATGCTCAGTGGAAGGTTGCTCTGAGGTTTTCTTTGCATGTGGAACTCATGTTAGGGGCAGCTCTTAAGTTATAATTTGAGTGTGTAATTAAGCTTTAGTGGGCAACCTCTGGAAAACAGGACTCCAGCTTTTTATGTAACTTTCACTGAGGAATAGGTCTATGCTTTATTTATAGTTGGCTTTATTTATTGTGCTGCTTGCTCATTATTTCAGTGAAGCTGATGACTATAAAAGTGCAGTGACCAGAGTAAGAGAATGTAAATCCCTGGGTTTCTAGTTACCTCTGCTTCATTTTGCTAGTGGTGAAAAGAAGTAGTAATATAAAAAGTTGACAAGAACTAACAGTGTTTCCTAGTTAATTTTCCATATGTTATATTCCTGAATATTGAAGAAATTTAGAATGCATTGGAGAGTAGCCTTTCCAGTTTCTTGCTGTTAATGTAGCTTGAAAAATAACAAATTGAGAGAGGGTTTTTTTCAGTTTTGCCTGTGGTTTTAATACTATGTGTGGTTACCATAATTTGGGATAGATCTCCTTGAGTGCCTGCTGCCTAGAGCAAATGAACTGTAGACGTAGTGTGTGCTGGGACAAAGCCATAGGGGCTGGTGGTAGGCAGGTTGTAGGGTGCATGAGGCCCTAGTGAAGCTGAGAGTGCATCTTGCCCGTATCAATATATTTGTGTCAGCAGAGATGCAGCGTGTCTTAAACTGTCTACATGTATCCCAATCCTGTTGATTGAGATGGCTCATCTTTGTTTTTCCTTCAGGCTCATTCTTGCTTTCATCTGACTGGATGTACAGGCAGTGTGAAAGGGGAGTGTAAGGGTGTGCTGCTTCTGCTCCCCTCCCAGAGTGCGATGCTTTGAGACAGGAGAGCAATGCTAGAAGGTCCTAGTTACCATAATGACTGATGAAAAATATGTTCAGGAACCAAACTAGAAGAAACTTATCTTGTCTCCTTGCTATCCCATCTGAGATAATGTAGTTGGCTCATTCAGAACTGTATTCCGTGGTCTAGCTCAGATTTAATATTTCAGAAAATCCTGGCTGTAGAGTCTTTCTGATGTAGCAGAAGACTGGTACAGATGTGGTGGAGTTTTTTTCTTGATGTATCAGAAGAGTCATGTGAGTGGGACAGACTCTCAGCCTTCCTTAAAAGGAAATAAAAACCTTCATAGTCCCTTATAAAGTAAGAAACGGAAAATGTAAGTCAAAAGCCATAAATATTGAATGACCAAAGAGTTAATAAAAGGAATCTGAATTTATTTTTGTCATTACCAGTAATAATAATAATCTCATGACTGGGATAAAAAAGAGGAAGGCCTATGCAGAATTTTCAGTATTTCTTTTTATTGGCATGGTCACAGTCTCTGTCACTTGTCATTTGGCTGAAATAACATGCAGTTTTTTGCCAAAAAACTGAGACTACGTTAAGCCTAGCTGTCTTGACAGTAACCAGAATTGTTTCTGCTGCTGTTGAGAAGGTTGTTCTTCAGAGGTCTGCTTCATCGATGCAGCTGTGCTGAGCAGCTTTATTGTGGCACAGGAGC